TTATTATTACTTTCATTAATAACACCTTATCTTCATCATTACCTTTCACCAAATGTTATTATTTCTGGAAGAATTCTTGATGGAATTGAAGACTTAATGAAAGCACAATGTACTGATATAAGAAATGCATTAACTATTATTGTCAGAAATAGAGTAGCTTATTATCTTCAAGTTCTAGAACAAAGTAAATCAACAGCACAAAATGTTTCTGCAACCCCACAAAAATTCACTATTTTTAGTAGAAATAAACAACTTAATACTCCAGCTCCAGTGACTAGCCCTTCACAATTCAATGCTCTTGATCTAAAGAAGTTACTTAACAAAATTATGGGAGAGATAGTTGCTTTAAATACATTACTTAAAAAAAATCTCAGAAGCATTGATTATAAATATTGTTTGTTTGAAGAGTCAAGACATCTTAACTTGTTAAGAGAGGAATTTGACAAACGGTCCACAGAAGATAATTTGAAAAACCAAGTCAGTAATGATCTTCACCAAATTTCTGTTGCTATTCATGAAGGTTTAAAGAACAATACAACACTCAATCTTGATAGAACAGAAACACCACTTATTATGAATGAAGAAAAGTACAACACAGATAGTGATGGTGATTTAGAAATATTCAGAAAAAGTTTAGATCTTTCTAGAGAACCAAATCAACAAGAAGTTCCTTTAACTAGACAAAGTTTTGATATTAATAGAACCCAATCTACAAAGATCGTTACATCTCCTCAGAGTGTTGATAATTGATCATTTAGTTGTTGTCAAAATATATTCATTTTAAAGTTTATAATAAAACATCAAAATAAAGAGTATTTTAATTTATTCTTTACTTTTAATTTTTTCTAACATTCTTACAATTTCATCTATCGTTATTCTTTCTTTTGGTTCTTGTTGCCATGACTTTTCAATAACATCTTTAATATATTCTTCTACTTCTTGTATTATGACTGGTCGTTTACCTGTTGTGATTGTATCTGCAATATCCCATGGATGTGGGTATAATGTTTTAGGAAATGGATCTTGCCATGTAATGGTTTGTAACATTGTGACTGAAAATGAATATATATCTGATTGAATTTTGTAATACTCTTGATTTAATATTTTTAGAGTTATGTGTTTTGGTATTTCTATTCACTTGCACTTCCAAAATCCGTTAGTTTACGATTAACTTCAATGTTATCATCAAGTGATACAACAAGGAAATTATCGGGTTTAATATCTCGATGTAATATTCCATTTGAATGAAGATATGAAATTCCTTTTGCTCCATCTATCATAAATTTGATTCTTATTTTCTTTGATATTTCTGTGATGTTTCTTTTATTCATTATATCTTGTATTGATCCATATTTTGCAAATTCTGTTACCATACATATTTTATTAGGAATAAATACTGCTCCATAAAAATGAATAATATATTCATTTCGAAATTTATCTAACATTGCTACTTCTTTCTCAAATTCTTTCTTTTTATCTTCATTTTCTTCAACTTGTTTTATTTTCTTAATTGCTACTTTATTTCCTCTAAATTCTCCAACATAAACAACTCCAAATGATCCTTCTCCTATTTTCTTTTCTTCTTTTATTTCATCAGGATCAAGTCGTGTTGATATTTCTGTTTCTCCTTCAATAGAAATACTTTTGATTGTTTCTTCTTGTGCTTTATTAAGTGTTTTACTAATTATCATTATTTTATCTTTGATTTTAGTTGTACATTTGATTGTAATGAATAATTCAAATTCACATGCATATCCTCCTTCAATTGTAATGACATTTGGGTTTGTTCTAATTGAATATTTCTCATTTTCTTCTTTACTACTTATTTGTATCTTCATCTTCTCTTTTTTATCATTTCCAATACAAATTAATTCTCGTATTTCTTCATTCACTTTAATTTCTTCTCCTTCTTGAAGTTCAATTTCTTTCTTACTTGTTAATATTCCATCTCCAAGTGGTATGAATTTGATATTTGATTGTGTTATTTTGAATATTGTTGTTGTTTTCTCTCGTTCTTTCTTTTCTTTTCTCTTCATTATGTAATTAACCATCATTATTATTATTACAATTGTTATAATAATGATAATAATTATAATAATGATGATTATCATTATCATCCACTATATTACTTCTTTATTACATTCATTTCCTTCTTCATTCGTTCCATACCAAAATGAACATTTTGAACATTTATTCTTCTTTGCTTCTTTACATTTATTAATATCTAAATAGTAGATACATTCTTTATTTTTTAATATATATTCATCTTCACAACTATTACATTCATTCTTTATTGAACATCTTGTACAATTCTCTTTACATTTTGAACATTCTTTATTTATTAAATAATATCCTTCTGAACATTCTCTACATCCATATTCTTTATCTATTTCTCCTTTACATCCTTTAATTTCTGTTGTTAGTTTACATTCTCCTATCCAACTCATGAAATATCCATATAGTCTTTACAAACATCCAAATAAAATATTATTATAATATTTACTTAATAATAGTTAAATTGTAATAATTTGTACTCAATATTATCCATTTGTATTTAACAATAGTTATTCATTCTCTATTTTTATTGTATTTGCATTTTTATCATTTTATTTAAGTAATTAAATGAAGAATAAAACATCATTATATATTATCATTCATTAAATTTAATAATTATTTTATTTTATTTTAATCATATTAATATTATTGAGTTGATTATTTATATCAATTGACTGATATATGGGTATTTCTTATTCATAATTATTTAACTTTTTGTTTGTGAAAAGATTTTGAATGATATTTTAAAAAGAAGAGAAATGATAAATAATCAATAATATAATGAATGTACAATGATAAATTCTACAAATAATAGAAAGAATAATATAATAACAAGAATAAAGATGAAATATAAATATACAAATAATATTTCATTTCTTATTAACTAAATAAATATACATTATTTTCAATTTATGATAATTCAATATGTTATAAATTTAAAAATGATAAAATAACATCAACAATCAATATTAAATGAACACAATCATTATAAATTGAATTTCATATATAAATAACTTAAATTCATAACCGAATAAAAAGAAGAATAAATAGATATGAAATAATAATAAACACAATTAAAATACAACAAATAATAAATGCAATAAGTACAACAAATAAAATGAATATGAATGAAATAAAAATAATTATAAATAATCATCATATCATTATAATATCGAATCAAATATAAATAAATGAATAATCTAATAAAAATGATGACTGATATTAAACTATTTTTAAAATAACATAATTAACAAAAACAATATTAATAAAAATAAGTTATTCATTTTGAATATGAATAAATAATTCCAATGCAATTATTAAATACACATATTCACTATTATTTTAGCTATTATTTAATTGCGCAAATTATACACTATTTTTGCATTAGAATTGTAAAAACATAAAATTTATGCATTAATACAACAATTATTTATTAAAATATTCATAATATATTTACGAATAAGATTTTAATAAAATAATGAGAATAAGTTTATTGAAAAACGATGTTATAAATATTTTTATTTCAAAAAATTATATCAGTTCAATTTATCAAAAAAATGAATGTATCAATAAAGTTGATATTTTTATGAGTAGATTCTATATTTTATGCTAGTATTATATGTTCTACGTGTTTCATTTTTATTAATAATTATAAACTACAATATTAACATATGTTTAATGTATTTTAAACAAACAATATTTTATTTTGAATTATTTAAAACATATATATATTTTCAAGTATTTAAACCAATATCAAACACAGACATTTCTATTGGATAATAGTTATTTTCATTGGAGAAAATGTTTGTAACTCGAATAAAAGTATTATTATAACCACATAGTACGTTCCTATTTATCCTTTTGTTTTTTACACTAATTAATTAGAATATAATTTAATTTTTCTTCAAAAGAAAGTAATTAAATACACAATATAAATATTTGCTAATTCACCACATCAACTTCACTTTGTTTTTTTTTTTGTAGATAAATTTTCAATAAAATAAAAGATAAGTCAGTTGATATTTACACTATCAAATAATTAAATGATAAATGATTGTCAAATTAGGTTT